TATTCAATTTTTAATATTGAAAAAAAAATTTTAGGCAACACTGCACGAGTCATTACCCAAGTTGTCACGTGTTGATAAACATGCAATGATGAAAGCAAAATACAATAAATAATGATTCGCCAGGTTAGCGTCAGGGATAAAAAATATTAGTATGTGTAAAATCAACAATGTTTCTATGCAGAATGCCTCAGTTTGACATGTATGCCAAGCAGATACGCAGGCAAATTATTGATTACATAAATTTGTGCTAAAATGAATTTTTCTTCAATAACAAAGTATTTATTTAGTGCCAAACTGAAATTAAGAATCAGGACTCTACATGTTTTATTATTGGGAGGGGAGAGAAGAATCAAATACAGAAAACAAAATAAAAAAAGTTGTTGGCTTTGAGGTCCATATTTATTTTAGATCATTCCAGATATTAGACATCCAGATCTCAGACTTTGTACTGTATTATATTATAGGAAACACTACTGTTGGTTTTCACAAACACAGTGATCTGTTTTTACATTAAAAAAAAAAAATGCAAATTCAATATTACACATAAATCACACCCTTCAATCAAAATGCAGATGCAATATGGAAGTCAAATATAGATTCTCTTTTCGCCATTTAACCCGCGAGCACACGTGGCGGGTATGTCATACCCATGTACATTTTTCTTTTTGTATATTTCTCGCCCGTTCTTTCATAAAAGGACGAAACTTAGTGTAGCTGAGTTCAAGGTCACATACTTAAATGGGGGAAATTCTTGAGGTGGCAAGTGGAACGGTTTTTTAGGAACAGCATTGTTCGGGCATGTCATACCCGTGCGTGTACTGGCGTTTCTCAGTGAGTCACTTCGCACTTCTCGTTTTCAAGCTTTTAGTATAAGTTTTCGCCGTATATTCCTTACGATGAAGAGATGAAAAGATTGAGAAATCTCCTTAAAACAGTTTCTTTCTGATGAGGATTTCATTAGTGAAGAAGAGGAAGATGTTGATGACGAGAAAATAATAATTAGTAATCATGATCCATCCATATAGAGTAGTGATTCAGATACAGAAACAGAAAATGAAACTCTGGAATGTAGCAATGAGTTCTATGTTGGGAAAAAATGGAGTAAAATGGAACAAAAAAAAATTCCGGACTAATGTTAGAATTGGCGCCAAAATATTATAACTAAACTCTCTGGAAATACAAAGTATTCTAAAGACATCTCAACACCTTTAGAGTCCTTGTCATTGCTCATCGATGAAGATATGTTAAAACATGTAGTTGACAATATAAATATTTATATTTATTCAATACGAGAAAATTTCACACGTGAACGGGAAGAGTACTTTTCTCAAAGCCTTAGGGATGCAGCTAATAGAAAATGTTCGATAATGAACGACGACTAGCATCTTGTAGTTCCTGATTCTGGACGAACACTGACCATTGATGAACATATTGACAAGTGGTACCGCCCTCAAAAACAACCTAAAATGATTTACAAGAGGTGTACAGAGTGCTCCAAGAAAAAGATAGAAAGACTAGATTCATTTGTGAAAATTGTAGCAAAAGTATATGTATGGAACATATAACCTCATTTTGTAAACAATGTTCAAAAAATTTTAAGTAAATAATTTTTCCTCACCTTATTGTTTCCTATTTTGTCTAAAATGAAGTATTAACTTGGTTTCACATTTTAATTTCTTTTAAAAAACCGATTAATTTTTTTCGGCAAATTTTTATTTACAATTTTTTTATTCGGGTATGACATACCCGGCGCGTGTTCTCGTTTTCGTCGGATCGGTGCGTGTGCTCGCGGGTTAAAAATATGGAGTGTTGAAATTAACAAATAGCATTAATAAAAAAGGTACTTCCTTATTATAGTGGCACTCGAACTTGAATTGTTAAACAACTGAGACATCTTGCTAAGTGTTCTTATATTACATGCGACAAGGTTCTTATTTTACAGGTGTTACATTTTTGCTCTTGCCATGTGTTCTTATACAGTCAAAAGTCGTTAATCCGGACTCGTCGGGACTTCGGTGATTCCGGATTATAGATCATCAGTTTAAATCTGGTAAGATGGCATGCAGGAATTACAAAATTAAAAATATGAAACCATAATTTATGAAATAAACAACAATTATTATCTAAAGGGTATCAAAATTTACAAAAAGAAAAAGCTTAATATTTATTTGTTTACTTTATTAACATTTCTTTCAATGTAAGTTGCTTCGTTTCATGTGATAATACTTTCTCTTTAATTCTATTAAACAGACATAATTTCTTGTTTAGTTACAAAGTTCCGCTGTTCAAGTCCTATAATTGCTGTGTTGAGAATACCGACTAATTTGTCAATCGAAATGTTTTCGTTTTCAATAACCTGTGGGTCACTTTCTTCACTATCAGAAGCGAATTATAATGATGACGAACATTTGATTTAAATCATATCAAAGACGGAGTACATCGAGATGAAATACTACACTTAGTAAGGAATTATAAGCCAAATGAAATAAAAACATCTGTCCTGAAGATAAGGATAGTGCTGACAGATCAACTTCCAATCCGCGGCGTGAAATTGATAAACAGATTTCGGATTTCAAAACATACTTTCGCTTTGTAGATACAAATTACATATTAGTAAATATATATCGGAAATTCTATTTGACATAATCGAAAGTTCAAGCTTACTTTTATGAAATTGCTCTAACAGTCCGCAAAAAATAATAAGCCGGATCTAATTCGAAGATTAAGGAACAACGCAATCTGCAACATTAACTGAATTAAATAATTTTTGCTTAGATTATACTGTCTGTTACACATTAAACGCGCATGCGCAAAAACATATTCGCAGCCTTAAAGGTCTTACGCGCACTCGTAAACGCCTGTGCGCAGAAAGTTTGTAGCTTTGAGGTCCGGATTATAGATCATTCTGGATTATGGGTGTCCGAATTAACGACTTTTGACTGTATTAGCTTTGAATTTAAAAGTTGTTTCCACAACTTATACAGCCGAGCACAGAAGTGTATTATGGCATATTTCGAAACATATTAAAAGGTTACGTTTTTCACATCATCTGTTCTGGTGTTATTAGAGCAGTCCTAGAAATTAATAGCCACACCTTGTATGTCAATAAAATAGAAAATAACTATTTATTAACGTATATGAAAATCATCAGAGAATTGCACAAACTTGGCATTGCGCACTCCCTTGACTTTGTTTATGTACACATCGATACATTTTTCACTTAAAAAGCTCAAATGAGCACCCAATTCTAGGTAAAAGTATATTTACAGAACATTCAGCTACTCAGGTTACCATTAACGAAACAACAACTTCACGATAATACAAAAGGGGTAGAGTAGACTTTAAGGTACCCCTTGTATTATGGCAAAGTTGTTGTTTGATTTATCGCCAAGTTGTTGTTCATTTATGGTAGCCTGAGTAGTTTTATGTTATGGTAACCCTATTGTGACGTAATCGGGTGCATGATTCTGGGAAATTTTGAATCATGGAATGTTTTGTAAGCGTTTTTGTGGTGTGTGTTGGTTTGATTCTTTAGACTGTAGAATGGCAGAATGTAGTAAAATTAATTTAAAGTTTCTGTACGATTTGGAGCGAAAAGAGAAAAGAGCTTTAACTGACTGGTGTGTAAATGAAGGTTTACTTAGTAGCCATTATAAATGTCCTGTATGTAGGAAGGATATGCGTCTAGTCGAACGTAAAAACCATGTAGATGGATTTGAATGGGTTTGTAGGAAGAAAGGCTCAGATGGTCACTATGTGAAGCGTTCGATCAGAAAGAGTACCTGGTTTGAAAAAAGTCATTTGAGTATGAATGATATTTTGATTTTTACGTGGCTCTGGGTGTACGAAGCGAACTCGAAAATCATGGTAAGTGAATATTTGCTTTTGGTAGTGCTTAATTGTATAACATGTTTTTCCTTTTTTATGTTATTTTACTGTTTGGTTTAAAATGTATTTTATTGAGATTATGTATTTTTTGTTTGCCTATATTGTAGAATTTGGTGCTCCTTTGACTTTTTAAGTGAAAATATATCGATGTGTACATGGACAAAGTAAAGGAAGTGTGCAATGCAAGTTTGTGCAATTCTGGGATTTTTTTTTTAAAGTAAAAATAGGTCGACGTGTACATGAATAAAGTCAAAGGAGTGCACAATGCCATTTTTGTGCAATTCGGGGATTTTTTTTTAAAGTAAAAATAAGTCGATGTGTACATGGATACCAAGTTTGTGCAACTGTTTGTCTGGTTATTTTGGCTTTGTATAGAGGCGATTTTTGACGCAAAAAATCGCCGCTTCGCAAGCCAAAATAACGAGTCAAAGAATTGCACAAAATCGCCAAGGGGTACCCTAAACTATACTTCTACCTACAAAAGGTACCTTTGGTCTACTCTAACCCTGATTACTTCTGAATGACATGTTCATATCCTCATCAGATAGTACTTATATCACATATACATAGGCTGGGTTATCAATTGTACCAAACAATTAGGTGCTGGATTATGGGACTTTTACAGTATAAACATATTTTCTTTCATCTTCAATATTTTCAATCTTTTGTAGAAAAACATAAGCCACACATTAAAATCCGTGAATTTCAACTTGCAGAAATTTATGCTGAACGCAGAAGCATATGATACTAAAAGCAAATAAAACAGATCTGAAATCAAATTGAAAGCAAGCTTTGTCAGAACTAATAATAAAGTTGTACAAAATATAAAAGATGTTGAATTATGTTTAACCTGAATCAGACTGTTTAATTCATTTTAGCATTCTAGTCACATTTACCATGCTTGAAAATGAATTATATTGCAGTCTCGAATTCGAGATAACTTTCACTAGTCTCTTGACGATTGCTAAATTGGGATTTTATAGTCGTACAGAAGTAGACACATCAACAGGGTGATAGAATTAATTACTTCTCACGTGAATAGTTTACTCCTTAAATCACAAAAAAAAAAAAAAAAAAAAAATACAACAGTACAATTATTTAAAATTTAAAACCTGATTGGTAGTGCCAGTTCTTCTTTTTTTCGACGACGGACTCTCTGGTTGACCCGAATTTTTTAGATCTCCAGGTCCATCAGGGTCCCCTAAGTAACACATATTAATAGCTATACGTATATAATACACACATGAAGAACACAATGTCATAACATAAGAACATAGTCAAAATATAAAATACTGTGTTCAAAAACAGAATAAGCTGATGTGTTAACAGCAATTAAAAAAAGAAAATGTACCTTTGAATTTTGCAGCAGTTCTCCTCTCTCTTGGCATTTATTCTGGTAATAAGATATTTACAACTAAAGATGGAATAAATAAGAATGTTTTTAAATGAATTATGATCACGAATTTTAATTAATCAAGTAATCATTTTGAAACTCTGTCGATCTGACAGAGACCGTTCATCGCCGGTGGGCTAATGTCAACAAATGAGCGGAAAATATTTTCTAGGCTGCTATATGAGTCACCATCATAATTTTATACATTTCGATTCGAACACATTTGAAAATATAAACTTAAATAAAAATAAAATGATAATTTAAGAAAGATAGTTTTAAATTTAAATAATATTTTAATATTGAAGCCCTTGATTTTTATCGCAACGGTTATTTTATGACCGAAGAGGAGTAAACGAACTTCTCAACATCCATTAACACGGTAAATTTGGCGCGTGAGTGAAACTGCTAAAGCACCCACCAAGAATTCACGATTCACCAAGGCCAACTTCTATGCAAGGTTACGCAACTTAACTACTACTAGACTGAACAAAATGCCCGTTTTCAGCAAAAGCTGTACTATCTTGAAGCAGCTTTGGATTTTAGTGGGTTTCCTGAAATTCATCACTAGATGGCGCTCGCGACCTGCTACACCCTGGCTATACGTTCACTATTTGCAACGTGGCTCGTTAATAACAGAAAGTGTATTTTATTAAAAAGTATTGGTGTTCACTAATAATAATACAGGATGGTATATTGTTGCGTGCCCTACTGCCGTTCAGACCACAGGAAATCCAAAAATGTGTCTTTCCATGAATTTCCATGCGAGGAAACTGTGAAAGAAAGGTGGATCAAGAATATACGTCGAAAAGGTAAAGTTAATGCTATCAAGGGCCAACTATTCAGAAGTATAAGTTGGCCTTGCTGCTATTTAACACTTAGCAAATGAAACTAATCGAAAATTGAGTATTGCTCAAAATATGTTACATATATTAAATTTTTTATAATTTCTTTTGTTAACAGAACCCACTGTGATTAGCTGAAAGTAATAAATTTGTTAGATTATTTCGCAAGGTTCTATCCACGCTCTGATAAATGTAGAAAGAAATAAAATTAAGAAAATGGCGTCCTTTTTCGAATGATAACTGCTACATACGTTAAAATTATCTGTAGTTAAAGATTTTATGTTTCCATCAATTAATTAATATCTTTCAGTGTTCTTATTTCCTTGTATCCTGCCCTTACATTATGACATATATTTAGAATTACTTAGCCTCAAAAGAATGATAATTGAAAGAAATTGGATAAAATTATCAATTAAAACTGATTTATCGGTATAGATATCTAACGATATGCATATAAATACATACCATTGTGTATATACCATACGGTATGTATGTATATATGTGTACCATTAAATCAGTTCAGAATATATATATTCTTTTTCTGAAATTTTATTGAAAGCATGGAATTAAGTAATAAAAAAATTTACATGTTTCATTTAGACATTATAAAATGGTGAGTGAAAATAAGTATTCTGAACATCAAAGATGAAATGCTATAACATAAAAAAATTTAAATAATTTGTGAGCTCGTACATTATCAAATTATGTTTCATATGTATGCACACAAACACATACTCGCAGCTCTTTACAACAAAGACATTTAGAAAAGTCTTTACTTATAAGCATTTTTGAATAATTTTTATTTCTCAGCCTTTATTTAAATTAGATGTACAAAATATATAATATGTTCTACCTGTGCTCTTCTAATTGACGTCTCAAATTTTGCATGTGTCGTCTGAAAGTCATTAAGAAATTATACATTGTTTAGTAAGTATATTTTGGAATTTTAGGTACGGAAGAACAGTCATTAAACTTAAATTATAAAACTGTAAGTTTTGCTGTTAAATGGTGTTTTGACTGAAATTTACCAGTAGCTAAAATGTTTTTCTTATTTCTCTTTCATGAAAAGCAGCATAAATTTCTTTCAACTGAAGTTACCACTGCTCTTAATGAAAACTGCCATCTAGAGAACCTTAGTGCATATGATAGTAATAGAACAAAATGATATGTAATATTTACCAATATAAAAATGTCAATTTACTGGTAAACATTTTTGGTTTTTTAAACTTTGCTGTTCTGTTTACATTTTTGATTAAAAAAGAAAAAAGTAGTTAGAAGTTGACCATAGTATTTAAACATATTTTATATGATCTTCTGTGACACATTTTTCATTCTGTATGTAATTTTTACATCTAGATTGAAGTATGAAATGCTTGTATGAAAACCAGGCTTGATGTTTATCTTAATTAAGGTGTGGGTAATATAAAAAACTGACCTGCAAATTATTAATAATAAATAGGATTTTGAATGAATTACTTGTTTTTGCAGTATACTATTTTATGTATTTAATAATGTTGTTACTGCACAATATTAACCATGTGTGCTGCAAAATTCTGCACAATATTAACCATGTGTGCTGCAAAATTAAAGATTTGAACCGGTTTGAAGAAGGGAACAAAAGCCTCTTTTATTCTCTTTATGAAACTGTTAAGAATGTCTGACTAATTAAAACTTAAAGGAAATGATTCCCTTTTCATCTTTGATAGTGTATATATGTTGCAATCCTACTACTGTCCCTCTTTCTGTGCCTGTGTTTGCTGGCTGAAGGACATCTCTTGCTTGGCTGCTTTTGTTTAAAATATAATGCTCCATCATCAAAATTGTGGGATGCAGATTGGCCCCCATTGTGAAGTGCAACAAGTAATAAAGATATATTTGGAGTATCAAGTGAATTTTGTGATTCTTCAAAAGTTCTCTTCATCTTCTGCTACATAACTGATATCTTCAGTAATCTTCTAATCGTCAATCCACTCGAGACTGCAAAATAATGTCTTCCCTAGTTAAACATTCATCTTTCATCAATTTACTGCATTTTACATACTAAATCTTATCATCACACATATATATCAATTTAAAAAGATACTAATAAAAATATAATTCTGTTCTTCAGTTATTGGTTGCCAATGAATGCTTTTATAGGGATTCTGTGGCTGCTTGCTCATGGCAGCTAAGGATTCGTACATTAACTTGTTGACAGTGCGTTTAAAGTTCCAACCTTCCACGATGCTCTCATAAAAGATGTGCCCTAAAGTGACCAAGAAAGCTTCATTGACGAGAGCATTTTTACAAGGAAACCGTGCCTTAAGGTGATGATTACACTTGTTTAGTAAAATAGCAATTTATCCATCATGCTAGCTTCTGTTGTCACTCTGTGTCAGCAAGCATTAAAAGTTTAAATGAAATTTATATTGCATGAAATCACAAATAATAGAAGAATTACTAATAATAAATCTATCTGGGCATATGCTAGTTATCTAAATAAAAATTTGGTACTATTCCGTATTGAGGACCGTAAAAATTGCAGCGAAAATGTATGCGCAAAAGTGCCCATTTTAAAAGCACATCAAATCTAGCATACGCGTTGATTTCAAATTGCGTAAGTTTAGATAGTTCTATATTTCTTAAGACGCCATTGAAATACTAGTTTAATTTTTAAATCCCTTTTTGATATCCTATGGATTTAACAATTTAGGAATAGCCCATGACGAAAAGTCTGCAAAGTGCAGAATCACCCACCACTTGGCGCGTTTTTAAGAATTGCGCATTGCACATACTCGGTATCCATGTACACATCGACCTATTTTCACTTTAAAAAAATCCCAGAATTGCACAGCTCACACCCTTGACTTTACCTATGTACACATTGACCTATTTTCACTTAAAAAGTAAAAGAAAATTGACAAAAATCCAATTGTTTTTACCCTTGTAAAAAGCTCCAAACAAATAAGTGGGCGATTCTGCACTTTACCGAGAATTTTTTCAAAGAAAAGGCATCATTCATTATAGAAAATTATGTTTGAACAACCAACGAAATGAAATTATGCTTTAGCGATAACTCGGTAGCGATGCAGGAATCCATTCTGTTATGTTTAGCTTTTTTTTTTATATAAATTACAATCAAAAGTCTTTAATCCGGACTCGTCAGGACTTCGGCAATTCCGGATTATCGATTTTTTCGGATTATAGATCATCAGTTTAAATCTGGTAAGATGGCATGCAGAAATTATAAAATTAAAAATATGAAACTGTAATTTATGAAATAAAGAACAATTATGATCTAAAGGGTATCAAAATTTACAAAAAAAAAAAAAAAAACTTAATATTTATTTGTTTACTTTATTAAACATTTCTTTCAATGTAAGTTGTTTAAGTTGCTTCGTTTTATGTGATAATACTTTCTCTTTAATTCTATAAACAGACATAATTTCTTCTTGAGTTACAAAGTTCCGCTGTTCAAGTCCTATAATTGTTGTGTCGAGAATACCGACTAATTTGTCAATCAAAATTTTTTCATTTTCAATAACCTCTGTGTCACTTTCTTCACTATCGGAGGCGAATTATAATGAGGAGGAATTTGATTTAAATCATATAGTATATAGAGATGAAATACTACATTTAGTAAGGAATTATAAGCCAAATAAAATCAAAACATCTGCCCTGAAGATAAAGGATAGTGCTGGACAGATTCAACTTCCAGTTCGATTGCGTGCACCGACGATGTTCCCCCCCCCTCGCAGAGCAGCGTGAAATTGATAAACAGATTTCGGAATGGTTAGAGAAACAAAGGATATGCCTTTATCCATTTTTTGCAGCAATTCCGCTTTTTGTTTGATGGACATCGAAACATGATTTCGCTTTGTAGATCCTTTGGCAGCTCCAGAATGGGAAATTCTTTTTGACATAATCGAAAGTTCAAACTTACTTTTATAAAATTGCTCTAACAGTCTGCAAAAAATAATAAGCCGGATCCAATTCGAAGATTCAATGCAATCTGCAACATTAACTGAAATAGATAATTAGATAATTTTAGCTTAGCTTATATCGTCTATTATACATTAAATGCACATGCGTAAATGTATTATGTGCATGCATGAACGCCTATGCGCATGCATTGATGCATGCACAGAAAATTTGTAGCTTTGAGGTCCGGATTAACGACTTTTGACTGTATAATAATGATCTGAAATAGTTATTTACTCTTATGCTTCCATTCAGTTATGTTTAGCCCTTTTTATATAAATTATAATAGTAAAAAAGTATTATACGAAATTAACCTTTCATCTAAATCAAAACAATAATCTTTAGATATTTACTATTATACTTCCTTTCTTGCGTTAGGGTTGCTGCAATTATTTTTGGCAGCACTGGCATCAACAATAGTTTGACTATTTTTAAAGCTTCGTTCAGACGGGGACGTAAAGGGCATAAGTGGTAAGCCGAGATCCATTGCCAAGGCAACCAGTCTGTGCTACGTCACAAAATCTGGTTTAGTGCTCGTGGCATAGGTTTCAAAGTTTTCAACTTTACGGCGAGTTTGGGATGAGCGTTGACCAATCAGAGCTAAGCTAAAACGAAGCGGCGTTCTACACAAGATTTCGCTGTCACAAAAACAGAGCGAATGTGGGAAATCATTCGAGCAGGAGAACAGCGCGGGAACGTTGTAAACACATCCACACATGTGCAAATTTAACTTCTCTCATTGGCCACGGCTTACACCCCCATTCTCGGAAGTGTGAACGAAATTTTATGCCCTTATGACTATGCCTTATGCCGCCATCTGAACTGTCCTCAAAACGGAATAGTGCCAAAAATTTCAACATTTTGAGTAAATTATGCTTATTTCTTTTCTCATATATACACACACATGTATATATACAGTCAAAAGTCGTTAATTCGGACACCCATAATCCGGCATGATCTATAATCCGGACTTCAAAGCTACAAACTTTCTACGCATGCGTCGCGTT